ACATACACACACAAACACACACACACACACACAAGCAGACACACAAACACAAGCACAAGCACTAGCACAAGCACCCGCAACAACGCAAACACACACACACAAACACGCACATACACACCTACACATGATGCCTTTCTTAAGGGCTGTTGTGAGATTGGTTTTCGACATGCAAACACACCCACCACTGACCCACCCACGCACGTACGCACCCACGCACGTACGCACGCACACATGCCGCACGCGTGCATGCACGCACCCACCCACCCACTCACTCTCCCACCCAAATTTGGTGTTTTTTTTTCATCCCCTTTACAGCCACCAAAAAGAGTCCCCAAAAAGAAAACGAGCCACCCGTAAGTATGCCTTTCAGCGAGGCCCCTGCGCTGCTCCGCAGCCGCTCGGCGCCGGTCAACGGCTCCCCGAGCGCCGCACGGCAACCCAGGTGCAGCAAAAGGAGGTCAGCCTCAGCGTTCAAGCCGTGACTAGGTCCCCCATTCGTTTCTTTTTTGGGGGAGGGTTCCCCTCTGAGGACTACAGAAAAAAAGTGTACCCTGATTCTAACCTCTCTACTGGAGGACCTAGATGCAAACAACGGTGGGGTTCAGATAGCCACCATTGTTTGCCAAAGAGAGTTGTTGTTTTGTAAGATTGTTCAAGAATTCTTTTTAATGGGGGCTGAGCCCTAGCATAAAGGGTACCTTTTTTAATTGTGGCTTTAAAGGGAAGCACACACTCCACTTCTTCTTTTGGTTTGTTGCCCGGGTGGGGGGGGGCTGGATGCATTTGTGCACTAATGTGTGCACACCCATGTGAACATCTGCGGGCACATGCCTGAAGCATGCTCCCTGACACGCATTCGATTGGGGGGGGGGCTCCCTCAAAAAGACACGCCCCCCAGAACTTTGAACCACACATGAGGGATTTTCCTTTCAACCAAACTAAAGGGGAAAGCCAATTAAAGCCAATTTTAAAGCACCAAGGCATCTCTCCTTGATATGAGAGATGGATTCCATGCAAAGCCTGGCATGCATTCCAGGTGTCCAGGCAAATAAGCTCAAGGTGTATCCCAACTTAAACCCGGAGCCTACCTGGAATGGATTCTGAGCAACATATGGCTGTGGGTCAAAACCAAAGGTACCATCTTGAATTCACCACCCATTTTAGAACCTGTGTTAGTGGTTGGATTGGGTCCCGTTCACTGGGGGTACGGGCTTTGGGCTTCGAGCCATGGCCATATTGCACGAGGTCGCGTCGTCTTTTGGAGTTGCCGTTGGCTTTCTTGGGGCCCGGGCTTTGGGCGTGCCGCTGCCCTCGGACGGCTTGGACAACGTCTTCAGTCTGTGGTCTATGCCGGAGGGGCATGGCGAACTCACTGGATTTCCCGCAAAAAAAGCCAGGGAGCCACGAAATTGATCATATCCCCTTGGGAAAACAAGTAACCAATTGTGACCAACGCTCGGATGTAGTTGCTTCTTGCCCAATTTTCTCTTACAGCTGTTGTCACACACTGGTTGTATAAAGGTTCAGCTGTTCAGGGTAGACCTTTAACGTTTTTCTCTCCCGCCCTGCTTTTTGAGCTCACCCTGCACGCTTCCCGATGTTTTTGTTTGTCTTCCCCTGGTTTTCTTCTTGCGGTAGGCTTACTTCCTGCCCCTTTTCTCCAGGTTGTTTTCTGTTCAGTCATTTTCCACGCTCTTCTGCTCTTCACTTCATCGTTCTCCTCCAGCTGTCCCATGGCTCCTTTTCACACTTCCTCGCCCTTTGTTGATCGCTTAAGTGCCTCAGTCATGACGTTCGCCTCCGAGCGTCAATTGTAAGATTCCAATGCCATCATGCGCCCCCCCTGGGAAGATTTCGGCCATGTCGTTCGTCCCCGTGCTCAGTTGGAGATGGAGATTCGAAAGTCGACCGGGCCTCAGGGCCCCGGCCGGGGGGAAGGGCGCGCCATTTCTTGTTCTAGGCTGATATTTAAGAATGTGTCCATGGGCTTTGAACATGTTGCAGATGCCCAGCGATGTATTTTGACCACTTTGAGTTGATGGGCTTTCGACGGGCAGATAGTCCATTTTGCAGACGCTTATCAGGCATGTGTTCCTGGGGGTGTGCGTGGGTGTTTCTGGCAGTCAGCTGCACGATTGCCCGCGTCCTGTGCTTCTCCTTTGATCCTTGGGCAGTTTAGCGGATGCTTCATCCACAGGTTGCAGGCCATTTGGAACCCGTCTGTTTGGCTCGTGCCATGCCTTGCATGCAGTCCCTGCATGAGTACGTGCAGAGAGAGTCCCCTTGTTGAAAGTGTAGCCTGGTTTGGACACACACACACACACCACATGTTGTTTTTAAACGTTGCCTGTTCTTTTGTTGGTCAGGGCTTTTTCGCCTTGCCGGTTTTCCATGATGCTCCTGGTAATTCACGCGATATTTGGCAGCTATGTCCCTCACCAAGACAGCAGCAATACTGCGAAGTTCCCCTCGTCCTTGAAGCGAGAATGATTGGACATCTCTCTTGCAACAGTGGCTCCCTATTCGATGGGTCAAACAGACACTCAGGCCGCCTTTTCTAGAGGGCTGCAACTAGTTACGCAGCCAGAGGAAACTGTTGCCGCTCAGACTCCAGACCTCCAGACCCCCCACAGTGCACCCTCCCTGTTCGGCACTCCGCCATGTTCCAAGCTTCAAACTGCGCCGACTTGTGGTTGGTCCCCATTGAACGCAATCCACAGTCGATGTATTTCGCGTAGGCATGTACCTCAGCACCTCTCAATAATGCCAGGCTCACGGGATGGTCGTTTGACCAAGGCAGCACCTAGGGCTGGCCTTGATGCATCTGAGAGGGGCTCCTTCATTTTTTTGGGGACACCTTGCCATGTTGCTCTGCCTCCGAGGAGTTCCTGTGGCATCTCCAGATTCCAGGTTCAGCCGCAGCGGGGAAGCCCGGACGGGGCAAGAGGGGGGTGGGTGGTTCGGTTCAGTTGGGTTTGGGTTTGGTTATAACTGTGTTTTGCGTGTAAAAGCTTCGATTGGGTTGCGGTTTACATGGGTTGGTTGCTTGACTAGTTGGTGAAGGCTTAGGGAGACGGCCACAGGATGGGCCAAAGATCATCAGCAAAGCAGAATGCCAGTGTGTGGCCGAACTTCACATAGAGCCACTCTTATGCTTGTTTTCCATCTGTGTATGTATGTGTTCGTTTGTATGAGTTTGCAAGGAAGATGCATCTTTTTACTACATGCGACAAAATCACACATACGCATACAAGAAACTGTATTGGATCACATATGCATGTACATGTTCGCATCCACAAATTCGCGCGCGTGTCCGTAAAGGCACGTCATGCGAGGTTCCTGCACACCCCGCTGGACACTGCGACGGAGAAGCAGTTTAAGGCGAGGCGCAGCTTGCGAGAGGCCCCCCTTCATCCCGTTTGGGGCTTCAGCCCGCCTTAAGGGAACCCTACTGTGGATGAACGAAATCCTGCACCACATTGAAATCATGGAGACACAACTTTTTGTTGGTATTCACAGGGGAATCATCAATTCAGGGGATTCTTATGTGGTGCAGGATTTCGTCCATCCACAGTCGGATGGGTGTGGATGGTTGAAAGAATCCCCCCCCCCATTTCCAAGCGCGTAACTCTTAGAAAACCCCCTCCGCAATATTTGTGGCAGTTTTGGAGGTTGTACGGGATGGCGGCACCGCAGTTACTTGGACCCTAATATCTCAGTTACATGGACATTTTGTGGGTTAAATGGCAAGAATGATTCAACACTTCACTTTTTTGGGTATGAGCGCCGCCACCCCAAGTTCTTGGCTGCAAAGGAGCTTAGCGCAGCCCTGGTGTCGCTTGGCAGGTGACTGATTGCTTCTGAAGCGGTCAAGAGGTGGCGCCTGAAGGTTTTTCTCGGCCTGTTGCTTGCCGTTTGCGGCGCTCGGGTCCGGAAACCACGAAGAACTTTTGCGGCAGTGCCCGGCAGTCCGAAGTACAACTGGTGTGTTTGAGTAGCCTGTTAGTTTCGGATCACCTGTATCCTTCCCCTTCTCTTTTGCCTTCCTGGGAGGGAGTCATGGGCGAAGCCTTGGATTCATAGAACCCGAGCCTTTCATCATATCTCCCATGGTTTTTCACTCTCACCTTCTTCCTGAGGCAATGTTACCTTGGTGGCTCCCAGCCACCCGGTTCCTTGGAGCCTTTCAGCTTCTTTTTCCGCGTTGCGCAGGGATTTCCATAGCCACCAAGAGTCCCTGCCCAGTCAGCCCTGGCCTCGGTTGGGAGGCCACGCTGGTGCAAGATCTCCGGCGCTTTGCGGAGGCGCAGAACATCGGAGGCCGGATCAATCGCTGGGAAGTTGCGGCGAGGGACTTTGGTGGAGGCACTGGGCCGTGGCTCAAAAACTATGGGCATGGGTCAAAATTAAGCCACCAGGGGACCGCAGGTTTTGCTCCATGTCTCCATTTACCAGGGTTCCGTTTTTGGGTACCAATTTTTGACCCACAGCCATGTACATGGATGTTCGGCCAATTTAGCAAGTGGTTAGCCACTTGGGTGGAACAGGGTTAACGCCACTCAAAGGCACTTGTAAGCGGAAGACTAAAACCCGGCGTAACCCTATAGCTCTTTGATTTTGAGCCGCGCCCGCTTCCGTTCCTGGACTTGAGTCGCTTGCTGGGACCATTTTAGCGAAAAGCGGAAAACTTGAGCATATTTTGGGCCGAACTCAGGAAGTGAGCGGAGAAAAAAGAAAGAAACAAACAACGCTGTTTGCCGCTTGAGCGGAGGGTTGTGCCCTCCCACCAATCATCAAGGAACCTGATGTTCGTGGGTTCCTGGAAGATCCTGGAAGATAATTTTCCTTTTAAAGGGACCCCCCGGTCAGGTTCCAAGTGAAAGAGGTGGGAGGGTACTTTGTGCCAACCAGATCTAACCTCGTTCTCGTCGGTTCAGAGAAATCCGCGGTTCCCGCGCCGAGACCAATCCGAAGAGCCCCGCGAGACCTTGTACGACTGGCTGGTGCATGCGTTGATCACCTTCAGGTGCCTCGGCCAGGTCACAAGAATTCGCAAGATTTTTGGGGGTTGGTAAGAATGGTCATGGACCTTGGTGGCTCCCAGCCATTTGGTTCTTTAGCTTTTTGGCTTTTTGGGGTTTAGTGGTAGGTTTTACGTTGGTGATGGATGCACCAGACAACCAGTGTATTCTGGTCCCTTTCGGCATGTGGCAAGTGCTCGAAGCGCAGATGGATCCATGCACCAAAGTGCCTTCGAGTCGAGGGATGTTGACGCGACATAGCAGGAACTCCTTCGAGGAAGGGGCCAAATGTCTTTCCATGCCCCACATAGGAAAGCCCCTATTGCCAGCCAAATGCAATGGTGGTTCCGTGAGTTACCGGCATCTAGGATCACTGTTTGGGAAACACAAAACATTCAAAGAGCCCAGCGCCATTTCGTGGGTCATGGCCATATTTGTTCCTGAATCCGAAAAGCCTTACCACTCGTCCCTGAACTGCTTTGAGCTCAGATCCCCTGCTAAAAGTAACTCACTTTTTAGTGGGTAGTTTCGATCATGGGGACACTTGCGCGCTTTATCAGGCTTCTGCCTGGTGAGTTTTCGCGATCTTCTTGGAAGATGAGACAAAGTTCATGTTGGCTTCCATGCAGATTAGTTTCCGTGTTTTTGCAGTTGGTACCCTTTTCAGAGTGGTTTGAAGGGAAACCAAGAAGCACACTTTTGTGTGTGCGTGTGTGTGTGTGTGTGTGTGTGTGTGTGTGTGTGTGTGTGTGTGTGTGTGTGTGTGTGTGTGTGTGTGTCTGCTTTCTTTTCGCCACATCCTCAGATCCCACGCCGAGTGTAGCACGCCCGTATCGCCTGAATTGGCTGCTCGTGCCGGTGCCCTCCATGGTATCCACTTGGTGCTGGACTCTGGTAGCTGGTTCCGAGGCGCAGCACAACTTTCAGCCGCAACCTGTGATATGGGCATGAGTCAAACTGAAACCACCAGCACCTTAAATGCCCTTGGTTCCATATACCAGGGCGCTTGCCCTTTTGTGGTTTCCTTTCTTTGTGGCAGATCTTGTTTGGTCTCCGTTAAACATGTCTCTCCGTTTCCCCGTTTTGTGGCAGGATTTTTTTCGGTCTCCATTAAAAACGACTCGCCATGGTTGGACCGGCCATACTCTTCCGGCAGTGGGCGAGTTTTCCGCCTCACCCGCAGTCGCAAAGCCGAGGCTCCCGATGAGCCCGCGGCCTCAAAGGACGATCGATCTCCGGGTGGCGAACGGGCGAACGAAGCTCCGGAACGAAGCTCGAAATGAGTGACCCATGGGTTGAACCAGCTCTTACAGGGAGAAGTTGCAGGTATTTTTCCAGGAAAATTGAGTTTAAACATGTGTTGCTTGAAATTGATTGACACTTTTGTTGGTATTTACATTGGGGAATCGATTCAGAAACCAGGGTTTCTGAACGGTGGTGAAACCCAAGGGAATGATATTCGATTCCCGTGCCTGCAAATGCCAACCAACAACAGTGGTTTCAAGCATGGACACCCCCCTGCAAATGCCCCATGGGAATGAAGCCGATTGACGTTTCGTTGGCCTTTACGTTTGGGAATCGAATCAGAAACCAGGGTTTCCGAACGGTGGTGCAATTTCTGGATTTCGCAACCCTCCACAGTATGAGCAATTCAAACTTCATTGCAACATAGGGATAAGCACTGCTGGGACAAGCGAGCTGCAAGGAAATCCTTGAGGAATGACCAGAATCGGTTTCGAGGCACGGAAGAACCATGAATATCTCGGTGATCCTTCAAACTATCTCGTTTTGCGGTGCTTCGGGGCATTTGCGCCACTTGTCTTCCCTGGAAGTTTGCGGCAAGCATATTTCCCCATGTCACCTCGGCCGGAATTCTCGGCTGGACGGATGCGTGATTCCGGGAAACACCTTGGACCACAAGAGACTTGACAAGTCCTCAGCCCAGGTCCCAACGCGGAGCTGCCGTTGGCCTGGGATATCTTAGGCGCAGACCGGGCTAATCAGGGGTCCTTAAAGGCACACAAGGCTTGCAAGCAGGTCAGCAGGTCAGAAAACAGGCTTCCCTGACACAGCGGTCAAAGGCGTACACTGAAAACAGGTGTTGACTTCCGATGCAAATTTGTAAGGCCGCTCTACAAGTCGACATGAACAGCGGCACCACCCCTGACCAGTACTTTGGAAACAACAAAACAGCTTGACACTGTCCATCTTCATATTTTGAAGTGGGACTCTTCGAAGAGCAAATTGTGATGTTCGGTGCTCAAATCAATGACCGGTTTTTGGCTGGTCACAGGGGAAGACCAAGGGCGAACCGGGTCGCATGTTGCCGGGTGCCGGCTCAGGAAGCCCTTGGACAATCCCCTGGAGCGCTCACATGGACACCCCCCACTCTCTTGTTTTTTTTGTTTTGTTTTTTTCCTTAGGCTTGACATCAACCCCGAGGGTGCCCTAGGCTCAGCTCAAGTGGCCTTTAATGTTTATCTCAGGTTCCTGGAGAAGTTGACACAGCTCCTGGAATCTTATATCATTTTTTTGTTTAAATTTTTATTTGCACGGCTGAAGCTGCAGAAGGTTTGAGATCCGGAGCAATGACAGCTCAACGTTCCCAGGGATTCATGCAACACATGTGTTTGTGATCCATATGAACTTGCATATCATATCTCTATGTATTTTTACATCTACACACATCAGGGCTGATGGACTTGTTTCACAGTCATGAATCGATGCCCATGCCGCGGTTCACGGGCATCATTCGCTATACGATATTATATATATATATACAATGATGCCCGTCGATTCTTGCCGACTCCAACGACTTGCCGCGGCTTGGCGGTGCCCCCGTGTCATATTTTTTGGACTCGAAAAACTCGCGCTGCATGGCTGCTTTTTTGGCGGAGTGATGGCGCCATGTCAGGATCTCGCAACGAATTTGAAGCTGGAGACTTTGGAGTCGGCCAATGGTTTCACGCACAAATGTTGCTTTTCAACCTGCGAGGCAAGTGGGCAATTCGCATGCACTAGTTAGAAGCGAGATCGCCGCCTCCAAAGTAGTCCCAGGAGGTTTCATGTTGTATTCTATCTGCCTATTTCTCTACTGCTATTGGGTTGGATCTACTTTTTTGGATTCCCCGCATATTTCTTTTTATCCAGCGAGAAGTTTAACTTTTTGCTGGGGGATCTACAGCACCCAAGATCTTATGTCAAGCTTCCTGTACTTCATCCAACTCTTATTTCCGGATGGCAATATGGCACACATGCAGATCCACCGCGTAGCTCAAGGGCTGCCCAAGAGACCCCCCGCCCCAAGGTTTGGAGTCGCAAACACGGCCGCTTCGCATGCACAGTGAGAGGCCTGCTCTTCATCGCGTACGATGTCTTTGCCATCCCCTTGCAAGCCTTTCCGCTGTCGGAGGACTTGGCTTGAGCTGCGCTTATGGCCTTTGCTGGTCTGGCATGAGGGGAGGTCCTTTTTTTTTCCCCCCCAAAGGCAGAGCCCAGCAGAATTGTGGCCTCTGGAAACCATTGTCACGTATTTTGGCCTTCATGAGAAGAAGCAGTGCCTCTCACGGCAGTATCCGTCGCACAACGTGCGCAAACGTCGTAGGTCCGGTGCATCTGGTGGCATGGATAGTTTCCGACGTGACGCCACGCCAAGAACACATCTCATGTGCAAAGAAGCGCAACACCATGAAGCTCAAAGCATCCTTTTTCAGGCATTCGGGTCCGGATTCGCAACATGCTCGGCGTGCCAGGCATTAAGGGCGTTGCGAGCTGAGAGCGTTTTGCTCAAGCGTTCGCTGCCACATTGCGTCCTATTTGCCATGGGTCTCGGGCCATCTTCCGAAGTGAAGGGCAACACCGTGCAGCTGGTTTTCACCACCGCGCTGTGCATCTCGGGATGTTGCCCCGGGATGAAATCGCTCAAGGGTGAAGTCCCCGGCTGGCTGCATGACTTACAAGTCACCAATTGAAACCAGTCCCTTTGGTGTTGCCAGCACTTTCCCTGTTAACCCACTTATTCACTTCTTGCAGGGGCTCGGATTTTGCGATTTTTCGCCCTTTTGCGCTTCTGCCTTTATTTCCCTTGTAGCCAACTAAACAGTCTCGTACTTGATCCGCCCTTTTCGGATCCGCGGATTTCATCCGGTTGCCAAGGTTGAAGGGCAACTTCGAGAAGATCGTGGAGCTGGGCGCGCCCTACAGCAGCTGCATGTGCCAAATGGACTGCTGCGGGACTCCTGCCTGTCCCAGCCCTTGGGAGGACGAGAATCAGAACGAGCCGCTGAAGGAAATGAGACTCGGACGGCTTGTGTGTGTGTGTGTGTGGGTGTGTGTTTTTGAGGCCAACAGTTTGTCACGCGTATTTTGGAGCTGTTGCGCTTTGGTGTGTCTTTTCCCTACCGGACTCTTGACCAACCCGGAGAAACTAGATGAGTCTTTTGTACCCCCAGTGAACATCCCAATCCCCACTAAAATAGGTTCAAAAACGGGTGGTGCACCGAAAACCCCAAAATGGGATCAACCACATCGGTTTTGACCACCACAGCCATGCAACTTTTGGGACGGGATGCTTAAGGCGGAAGCAGTTCCCGCAATACACCTTCACCTTCAGGGCTGAGTGGGTGGGCTTTGGCAAGAACGCGAACTGGCAGCACGTTCTGCAGATCACCAATGGCCCGGGCGGCCCGGGGGTGGCAATCGGCCAAGTCGTCGGCACCCCTGGGCAGCAGCAGATGTAAAAATGGCAGTGGTGTACCTGACGGTGTGCATGCCACACTCCAGGGGTTGATTCCCCATTCTTTTCAACCGTCGTTCTTTCCAAGAAACGGCAGGTTTTGTAGAAAGAAGGATCCCTGGAAAGAATGGGGAAGGTACCCCTAGATACACCGGTCCCTTTTTCCGCGCCTGTGTAGCCGTGGGTCAAAACCAATGGTACCATTTTGGGGTAGGTGCACCACCCATTTTAGTGTATGTCAGTGGGGATTGGGATGTTTATTGGGGGTACGATTTAGATTTTGACCCATGGCCGTGTTGGGAGACGTGTGTCAAACGTCTCGAAGGGGAAGACTCCCCAGCCACGAAGGCTTTTTGTCATGCGAGCGCCCAAGGTGCAGAGAAATGGTTCGTTTGGCAGCCATCCGGTCCCTTAGCTTCCCTTTTAGTGTTGAGTGGTCTCCGAATTTCACCCACCCTCCCAACATGGCAACTGAGAGGGGGTCCCTTCAAAAGGAAGCGGGCAGAGTCTATGAGTTGATTGACATCGATGCGACCTTGCAGGACGGCTTCATTGACGCAATGGGCTGGATCACCTTGTGCTTCTGGACTGCGGACATCGTGCCTCAGCGAGTGGAGTCGGGTGCTGGACCCTTCTGCGGGACCCGGAAACAAAGATCAACCTTTGGGGACCCTGACTACAAGTGGCTGGTCAAAACCAATGGGATCCCATTTGGGGTAGGTGAATTCACCACCCATTTTAGAACCTATTTTAGTGGGGATTGGGATGTTCACTGGGGTGCGATTTGGATTTTGACCCATGGCCAAGTGGCTACAATGGGACGACTGGAAGGTCAAAAAGGTTGGCTGACAACTGAGTTTGGGTCCCACCAAGCACGATGAAGCGGCGGCAAGTGGGACTTTGTTGCGTCCCAGAGGCCGAACACTTTCCGGGCACATCATCATGTAGGCTTTAACCTTGGGTTCTACTGGGGTTTGCCCCAGTCACCCCATAGCCACCTTCTTAAGCATGGACCTGACGTTGAATGAAGGCTTTGCCAGCTTGCATTGCTTTTCACCTTGCATGGGTTCCTAGTGGCAGAACTGCCAGCGCGCAGGTCACAAGTTTTCGAGGCAAACACTTCCCCAACAGTCAGCTGGTCCCCAATATTGCCCTTTTACCGTTTCTTTTTTTGGGGGAGGGTTCCCCTACTAAAATAGACTACAGAAAAAAGGGTACCCTTATTCTAAACTCTCTACTGGAGGACCTAGTTGCTATACTGCTTACAATGCAGCAGTGCCACCAGGAATACCATGTGACGATCAGCAAACAAAGGTCCAATTGAATCTTGCATGCACGACGGAGATGCCAAAAAGCACAGGACAAGGCGTCAAGCAGTTATGCCATGTATACCCCAGATGTTCAGAGAACCGTTGCCGGTATGACCCGCCGTGTCCTGGACAGTCTGCTCAGGAACCACTGATTTGGGCATGGGTCAAAATCCCAATCCCCACTGAAATAGACTAAAATGGGTGGTGCACCTATCCCAAAATGGTACCAGGGTACGATTGCCACCCATTTTCATATAAGTTTTGGGGTTCCCCGATTTTGACACATACAAGTTGGTTGCCATTTTGACACAGATTGGTTGTCATTTTGACACAGATGTGTCGTCCTTCAGTTCTGGGTCCTGGCAGAGGTTTTGGCTATCCTGCTTTGGTGCTTCATCGACAGGCGATGAGTAACATGGTGGGCTTCTTTGACGGTCCGCGGCTTGTGATGCAGCAGTACCGCATCACACTGCGCCGGGGTCTCAAGAAATCGAGCTCGGGGTCAAGAGACGATTTGTTTTTTTTCTTTTTCGTATGGAGCCTCTAATGGGTTCCATGTTGAGGGTCAATCCCCAAAGGTCGGTCAAACTGTCCCGTGGCCACACAGGGATCGCCAATGTGACTGTGGCTGTTGGCTGGCTCACTGACTGCTTAGAACCCTGGAGTCTTTGGAGGGTCTCATTTGCGCTCTTGCCGCCTGAGGCTACTTGAAGACCTGGTTCGTCCTGGATTGCGTTGTGGTGATACCTGACTGGTTCACTCGCTTGGCGCAGGAGAGGGGTAGAGGGGTGATGTGAGCAGCATTGAGCAGAGAGAGAAACCAAGGCTGATGTACGACTGTTTGCATTTAATGTTTGTTGTTTGGTTTTAGTGATCCAAAGGCTCTTGCTATGACGCCACAGGAGTTGCACTGCAATGGTTGGACATATGCCTGAGGTTGGCCGTTAATGAATCGCATTCTGGCGGAAATCTGTTTGAGCGGATTGCAGTACTCCAACAGGGCATGCATTAGTTTCAAGTTGGTTCTTTGTTTCGATGTTGCATCATTCACCCGATTGAGTGGAGAAAGCGTTGAATGCACAAGAACTAGTTAGAGTCTACTGCTAAACTTTGGATCAGGCTGAAGAGTTTCTTGAAGTGAGACTCGGAAGACTTGTTTCAACCCGGGTAGACAGCAAATTCATGAGTAGATATCATGATGGACACTTTTCAACATACTGTGGATGGACAAAATCCTGCACCACCTCAGACACCCTGGAAGGATGATTCCCTTGTGAATACCAACAGTTACAGTGGTTTCAACTCCACGGTTTCCAAGTGGTGCGGTTTATGGATTTCGCAACCATCCACAGTAATGTTGACCCCGGATTAATAAACCCCTGTTCATATTAATATGGGGGTGTCCCTGGTTTTAGTGGGGATATATCACTTGGAGGGGCCTCCACCCCTACATGAATAAGCAGGGGTTTAGACAACATTACCATGTCAGACAAAGGCCTTGGTGTTTTTGTTTTGTTTTGTGCGCAGCTTCTGAAAGTCAGAGTTTCAGGTTGCAGCTTGTCATTTGCAACTTGAACCACGTTTCGATAGCCCAGGGTTCAGTAAGGGGCAGTCCCAATCGCACACAGGTGCTTGCAAGAAGCACGTTTTTTTTTTTTTTTGCGTGTGTGTGTGTGTGTGTGTGTGTGTGTGTTTTTGTGCTTTTTCTAAACATGGTATTGGGTGGGCTCTTGTTGTGCCCACAATTCCCCTTCTTGTATGACTCAATTTCCCCATAGACCTGTTTTTGGGAGTGTTTTCATCCCAGGTTTTGATTGCTGGCTCGCACGGTTTCTATCGTCAGGACGATAGCTCGGCTGCCTGTCAGCAATCGGCGAGGCAGATGTTCCAAGTGTCGACTTCAAAGAAGTAAAGGGTCGAAGCCCTTTGACGCTCAGTCCCCAGACTAGTCTGGGGACAACCTGTGCAAGCTGATGGTTTTCGTGAGCGGCTAGAGACGTAGTGGTGACATTGGTGAGCACAGTACCTTGCGAGTATCTTTGTCCACGGATTCATAGCATCGACCTGTTTTTTGGCCTTTCCGATCAGCGCTTCGACAATTAGTTGTCCCACTCCCTGAGTTCCTTTTTTGGGAAGACCATTTTAGTGGCAAACAAAAATATGTTTTTTTTTTTGCCGATCCACTTAGGAACTGTTCGAGGTTGGCCAGCATCTTGTGCGAAGAGTGGTATACCAATTCTGCTGTTCATGTTGATCAAATTGGACATTTAGTCTTGGACTCATTTGCAAGATCAGGGTTCGTCCTACTTGTGGTTTCATCTACTTCACGATCAGAGCAGTTCATCATGTGACATGTCTTTACTGCTACCTGGAACCTAACCTGACACCGCCATTTCCAAATGGTGGTTTCCCAAAACTGCCATTTTCCATCAAGCAGATCTATTCATATGTTTCTGGTTGTTTCAGGTTCCGGGTAGCTAATGAAGGAGCCACACCACCAATCCTAGCTAGGGCACTTTTCTAGTAGGCTTTCCGGAGGCTTTCTCTCAGGGGAAAAGGCGCAGGCTGTAGAAACGTTGCAAGGCTCATTAAGGTGAAAGCCCTGAAACTCAGTCTGCAAAGAAAAAACATGGTTTCAGTCGTATTTCCCTCCAGTGATTTGAGAGGGACCCAAGAAAGGTCGTTTCAATGGACCCAGTCATAAATTTGAAGAAACCCAAATCCGAACCAAACGGAACCTGTGAAGAACTGGATATGAATTCTTTGCTTGGGGACCCTTGGGACCATTCGGATTTACGTCCACCCACTTGTTGCCTGGGCGCTTGCAAGCGATGACCCATACTCGGCCGCAATCTAGTTGTAAATGGGAGTAACCTCCGAATCTCTCGCCGTGATTATATCACAGTGAGCCATATGTGACCGCCTCTTGGTGGAAAAATTGGGTCAAGCAAGAAAAAACAAGAACAATAGAAACCCTTGGTTTTAACCCCCATTTTGCCCCCTTTACCTTGGCTTAGGATTCCGCCCCCCCCTGGGGCGGCAAATCTTTCAAATGATAACGCAGGTGTCCTAAGGTAAGCTCAATGAGAGCACAAATTTCTCATGTGGACCAAAAGGGGAAAAGCTTGCATGATTTTGATTTTCGGGATAGCTGTGAAAACATGGCCGAACCCCATGGAATCTCCGGCCTGAGGACTTGCTGGCCAGCCTGGGCCGCATCTTGCGCTCCGCGCGGGCGGTGCGGGTCATTCGCCTGCCGGGGCGCTCAGGGAGCCCGGGGAGACCCGCGGTTCGGTTGGGTGGCGGGGTAGCTGGGTGGCTGGGTGGTGTGGTTGGGCGGGTGGCCTGGTTTGGTGTTTGCCCTTGAGACCCGCGGTTCGGCTGGTTGGGCGGTTGGCCTGGTGTTTTCGCTGGGCTGTTGGTGGCTGGATTTGGTTTGGTTTAGCTTGGGTTGGCGGATCCAAAGTTTGGTGCGGTGGCCTGGTTTAGTGTTTTCCCTTGGCGTCCCTCGAAAACGGATCGTTGAAGAGGGGAGCCGCAAAGTGTCGTTTTTGCTTGGCTTGCCGGTAGGACGGCCCCCAAAAAGGAGAATGACAAACCAATGTGTTGTCAAATGGGGGTATATTTTGTCGAGGGTGCCTTTCTCACATTGGTTTAAACAAATTTCAAAGGAAGCCACAAGGAAAAGCAGAATGTCAGGGTATCCTCAAACGATTCCCTTTTGAAGCGAAAATCAAGTTGTCACGGTTGTCGATGGGAACTCAATGGGAACCCTACTTCGAAGACGTTCATCCAGATGACTTCGGAAGTTGACATGCTTTGGGCATATTGCTTTCCACCAAAAGGCGCCGGCAACCTCATCCTTCGCCCATGGCCAAAGGCGGCCCGCAATTGTTTTGGGGTGATTCTTTGAGATGAGACACATCTACAGTCGTATATATGCGGATGGATTGCAGGGCAGCTCGCGTTTGGGGTTGTTTGCAGGTGTGTTGGCTTTTGCATGACTTTTGCAGTTGCATTTAGGTCCCCCAGTAGTGCCCCCTGTCTCACTTTTTTTTTGGGGGGGGAGGGTTCCCCTACTAAAATCGGCAAAAAAGAAAAAAGTGGGCACCCTTATTCTAACCTCTCAAATCTGGAGGGCCTAGTTGCACGTATGCCGAAAGTGCCAGAAGTTCACCACTGGCCAAGCCGAAATCTTCCGCGCGCATTTTTTCTGGGGAGCCGAAGGCTGCGAGGGGATCGAGCCGAGAGCTGAGGCTGCGACTCCTGAAGCTCCAGAAGATGATGAACAAGATTTATGCCGCTGGTCTCTAAACCGGGGTGGCTTCAGTGACTCAAGGGGCGGGCTATGGATGCTGATCTCCAAACCCGTGGCTTTCCATATTCGGGGGGCTTGTCGAAGCGGTCTCTGGCTTTCAGTGACTCATGCAAAGCTTCGGGGACTATTGGGGGGGGGGCTAGCCCTGGAGAAGAGCGGGAGAACCCAAGGATGAGTCCTTAAGGGCTTAGTAAGGGAGAGTGTGGGAAGTGGTGAGATACATCTTGGGGCATGGCTTCAAGCTTCGCTTTGCTTGGGCTCATGGGACGCTTTGGCCGTTACAACTGCGCTCCACTCCAGTTATCCGGCACAGGCGTCCCCAGCCGCACGGTCGTCTCCCGAAACACCTCTGGGCGGTTGCGCCGGAGACTTCTTTCTGCTAAGGGAGCGCAGAGGCATGTTGGAGTAGAAGCTCCCGCTGGTTGGGTGCAGAAGCCACGGCGTTCAAATGATGTTCCCCGAACCTAAGCCGTGCCCGTTCAATGGCTGTTGATTCAAGTGCGGTTCATCTGAAAAGACTTTCCGAGGGAAGTCATCCGAAAATCCTTGGAAAAAAGGTGGGTGTTTCTTCGTGCGAAGCTCTTCTCGGGTTTCCTTTGTTGTTTTCGCCATGGGGGTAGATGTAATGTAGGCAAACGTTTTACGTACCTGAGTCGAAGAATGAGCTCTCACATGCCGCATGACTGCCACCTGAGCCTCACTTCTGTGGCAGCCTGCCTTAGCCTGCCGTTTGACACTGTGGATGGTTGCGAAATCCATTTCGCACCTCCGTTCAGAAACCCAGGGATTGATTCGATTCCCCAACGTGAATACCGACAAACGTTATGGCTTCAGCCATGGTAACTCATTTCGTGGTGCGATTTCTGGATTTCGCAACCATCCACAGTAGGGCGCTAAGCTTCCATTTGCTTCAGAATAGTTTTTGGTGTGTTTTTCTTCCCTGGTTTTAAAGGGAATCTATCACAGGGTCTTAGCCAAATGGAAGTAATATAATAGACACAAGGATGCCAAGCCCCGTGCTTCTCCTCTTCTTCTTTTTTTGCGTGCTGAGGACTTCATAGACTCGGAGTATTTGTTCATTGTCATGGACATCCTGCGCCTGCTGCTCTTTATCGTGGCATCTTGGCTGAAGATCCCCCCACCAAAAAAAAACAACATGAATGGTTTTCTGTGGGCAACTACTGAATAATATGTGTATATATATACATATATATATATGTATAAACGCTTGCTCGTCCTAAGAAACAGGGCCCTTCTGATTTTTCCAGTTGGTTTCAATGAGAAGCCAAAGGCCCGCTTTTTCAGGGTCCTGGAAGGAAGCATCCAAAGAAAGTCCACTTTGAAGCCATGGGACACCATTGTTTATTGGTTTGTGCGTGGGAATCGTGATACGTTCTCTTTTAAACCTGGAAGGGTTGTTCCCTGCAAGGTCATCGCGTGAGAAGCCTCAAGTCGAGTGAGGCTCAGCCTGGCTCTTTCATAAGCACGCAGGGAAGCATGGGACACCCACATCTAACTGCGCAACTGCTGGTGCTCAATCAGGATGATCATAGGCTACGACCATCATAAGCAATGTTCCCATGCTGACTTCTTTCTTTCAGTCGTGTCCGTCTCAGGTTCTGAAAGGAAAGATGTCCAAATGCTTGCCAGCTGATGCCAAGTGTTGGTAGCCATCATTCCGAGCCATTTTGGTGGACCCTTTTGTTGTTCTCACATTAAGGTGCACCAGGGCAAGTTTAAGAATTCTATTTGTGCAACCATGGGTATTGTGCGGGTACATTGCAATGAACCCCTGGCCTCTGCTCATTGTAATCTATGAGTGACATGGCCTGTGTCAAGACATTGGCTGCCTCTCGGACAAGAGTCAGCCTTCTAGAACACCAAACAGAGAGTTGCACTACGGCTGACCCACTGCAAGGTGCTGAACCACGTCATCGCCTGCCTGTGGTATATGGTGGGCTTCATAGGCGACATCCCGATTGGGAGCTAGCAGAAGTCCGGGTCTAGTCATCGATAGATGAGTGACATTAAACGGTTCGAATCGGGTTCCAGCTTGCACCAGAGCACCATCATGTGTGTATCATCCAAGAAATCCATTTGGGGCTTGATCTTTATATTCCTGGCCCCCCAAATGATGGGTAACTTTTCCCATGTGGGGCATCCTTTTTAGCGGGTTTCCAACCAATGGTCATCCCATGAAAAGGGCCTTTTGATCAACCCCTATCCCAGAAATCGATTTTTCGGTCTGTCTTTCATTGAGGGCACCCATTTTGGGGGTGGTTTAAAAACAGAAGGGAAGCCCACCGTTTTGGATGGGGTCCCCAAAACACAGACACACCCATTTGTTAGAACCCATGAAGGTCACCCAAATACGTCTCCCATACGAGACCATGGAGGCCGGCTCACATGGCTCACGGGGCTCACTCGAAGGTCCGAGGATGGTGTTCGCGGGGAAATGGATCGGAAAAAGATCCCAAAAGCGTTGGAAAGAGCAATTCTCGGAAAGAAAGGTCGGCCTTTTTTTCGTGTGCTTCAGTGAAGCCTTGGAGGTTTCTCTCTCCAAAGAGCTGGAGGAGAAAGTTAGAATAGCACCCTTTTGCACATGGAACCTGACGCTCGGGGGGTCTCTTTAAAAGGACCAAACCAGGACCCTCCGAAGGTCGGGTTCCATGTGAATTGGTGGGAGGGTAGTTTCTGTTTGAATGTGCGACCTGGTGCCGCCTTGCAAGCGGGGTTTTCAACCCGGCTCAAACCACTTTGTCAAGGATCCAGGTTAGAGCAAACAAACATGTGCGCTGGGATTTCGACAGCGACCAAAAAAAAGCGATATCAGGGAGCTCTGGGTTTAGAGCGTGTTTCTCGCAGGAGTTGAAGCAAGCGTCCGTTTGGGTCCATCGACCCTTTTTGACAAATGAAATGACTGGTCACCTACTGTAGTGCAGGGAAACCAGTCAATGGATAACTTCTTGAAGAGGGAATCCAGTGACCCTAGTGCTCTATTGTATAGTGGCAAGTGGGATCCACTGCATCGCTCGCCTGGCGATTTTTTCTCTGGCGGTGTTTGGATACTTGCCCTCAAATCTCGGGTACAAAAAAGGTCCATTGCCCATGATGTTTTTGGGCAATCCCAGGACCCAAGTGCCGGCCCAACGACCGAACAACTGGTGCGATGCCAGGTTACGAGAACCGCACCTACAACTGGCTGGAGTACACCGGGTACACCCAGGTGCCTTGCGCCCTTTTGGCTTGTTCAGGCAGCTTTTTGCCCAGAGAGCTCTGCCATCCAACAGTGCCCCCCCCCCCCCCGGACGGTTGGTGAACATGGCGAACATACATCCCCATGTAAATTGCAGTTCAATCCGACTTTTGCGCGCCTTCCATTTGAAGCTATCATCATGGGGGTTGCAGCTTGTTTGGTGCCCTCGCCCTCCCCCTCCCCCTCCCCCTCCCCTCCCCTCCCCTCCCCTCCCCTCCCCTTCCCTCCCCTCCCCTCCCTCCCCTCCCCTCCCTCCCTCCCTCCCTCCCCCCTCCTCCCCCTTCCCCTCCTCCCGTCCCCTCCCCTCCCCTTCCCCTCCCTCCCCTTCCCCCCGTTCCCCTCCCCTCCCCTCCCCCTCTTCTCCCTCCTCCCCTCCCTCCCCCCTCCCTCCCCTCCCCTGCCCTCCCCTGCCCTGCCCTCCCTGCCCTCCCTCCCTCCCCTCCCCTCCCTCCCCTCCCCTCCCCTCCCCTCCCTCCCCTCCCTCCTCCTCCCTCCCCTCCCCTCCCCTCCCCTCCCTCCCTCCTCCCCTCCCTCCCTCCCTCCCTCCCCTCCCTCCCCTCCCCTCCCTCCCCATCGGGTTTTCTTCACATCCCCAGCCGCAAGAGAGACGCCGAGAGACGCCGCCATACGAGAGGTGATCCAGGGCGGCGTGCTGTGGCAGTACTTGACGGCGCTGCATTGGAGCCTGACCCAGTTCACTCCGGCAGGCGCCGACCTGGGCTTGGGGGGGGGGCTGGGGCAAGCTGGTTGAGGCTCTGGGGGGGGGGTTAGGGCTGGGGCAAGTTGAGGCTTCAAACCGGAAACCAGGACTCATTAGAAAATGCCGGGCGGGGCTTTGCATGGGAGCGGGAGCGGGGTTGCCTGGGTAAATGTTGTTTCCATTGTGCAAGGGGCTTGAGCTTGGGGTGCAGGCCAGTGATTATTGGCTAAACTGACCGGAGGGATGCTTGTGTTGGGGGATGACATAAACCCAGATGTCCCTCTTTGAAGCCCACATTAGTATCGTAATATGATGTACAACTTAAGAAGTCAAAGTTATTTTTTGTGAGTAACTCCCAGCATGTAATTTCAAGTTGAGTTGCACAGCGCGCGAACAGATGTGAGTCGGCGCCGCACCCCAAGTTCAACGAGATGATTTGCAGTGCTAATCCTCATTGTTCTTTCCAGAAAAGCAGATTGCTTGGGTCAACCAGAACAAACTGGTCTATGATCAAGTTAGGAGGGACATGAGGCACTCAGCAACAACTTGTCTTGCTTAACAAATGATTGTTCAAGTGCAAGTGGCTGCTCCTCAGACCCATTTCATCTAGGTCCCCCAGTAGTGCCCTTTCTCACCCCTTTTTTGGGGGAGGGTTCCCCTACTACAATAGACTAAAAAAGACAAAAGTTGGTACCAACTTCTTCTAACCTCTCAAATCTGGAGGATCTTGTCAGTCATTTTCGTTTTGGCTCGCTCGCTCCGAACGAGGCATGGACGTCTACGCCCGGAATGTGCCGGAGCGCATCATGTCGGTGATCGTGCTGGGCTTCGCGGTGATCATCTTCTCCTCGGTGCTCGCCTCCGCGCCCCGGCGGAAAAGCGGTGGCCGTCGCCCGAGGGTTCGAAGGAGGGGCCTCCATTTCACGGTGGAATTGTCAAAAATAGGGTAACCCCAAAATGGCTTGCCGTGGTAGATGGAAACATGGACGATTTAACATGCAGTCCGATTCCTGGTGGTTTTATTTTGACCCATACCCATTTGCCGGTGGATTTTTTCCAGTGCCGCCCCCTTGGAAAAAACCCTGTTCAGTTTGAAAGGGCTGGCAGAAGGGAAAGATAGGCTTCCATTTGCTGAAAGGATTTTTTTCCCTGGTTGGTTTTTACAAGGAATTCATCACTACTGGACATATTTCTATATTGTTCCTGGGCCTTAACCAAGTGGAAGAAAGGAAGCAAAGGATGGCCGTGTGAGCCACGTGCTCAAAACCGATTCGGGTAGATGAAGAATACTTGGTCCCCCAGTAGTGCCCTTTGACCCTTTGTTGGGGGAGGGTTCCCCTACTAAGATAGACTACCGAAATAAGGGTACCCTTATTCTAAGCTCTCTACTGGAGGACCTAGGTTAGGGTAGATGAAGGTTAGTAAACTCTACTGCTCTTGGGTTCGATCTTTAGACTTTAACTTTTTGGATTCCCCGCATTTTCCTTTTAACCGGCAAAAAGTTTAACTTTTGCTGGGGGATCTACAGCCCCCAAAGAGTAGGGGATGCTCGCAGCCATAATTAGCTGCGGATGTCCGCCTTCTCGATTCTTTACATGGTTCTGGGAGTACGACCATTTTAAAGCTGGGTTGTGATTATAACTCATGTGGACACCCGATGCAGATTAGGATTGACAACCCCCTGGTTGATGGGATGCTCCGTCTAAAGGTTGAGAGGGAATCCGATAGTTTGGCTGGAAACTCTCCCCCACGAATCCACAAGGTTTCTGAATCCGAGCTCGGCCGTACTCCAAATCCAAAGATACAGCGAGGTTCCTCTGAAAACGCTGCAGTTTGTGTGGTTCCATTTTGATTTGCAGAGTGCCGGAAATCAGAAAAGGTGCCAATTACTCAGCTGTGTGGAAGGGGATACCCTTTTTTTCGGGGGGGGGGGTCAATTTCGGGCTTGGAGTGAGTCACGGGGGCAGTTCTGGGTGTGCTGCAACAAATTGTGTGGAAAGTCCAGCTGGATGCTTGGCAAATGAAGGAAGCCGAAAAGCGATGTGCACTCCAAAAACGGGGGGGGGGGCGGGTTTCACCACTTGTTCCACTTCTGTGGGCGAGTCTCGCACAGTTTTTCGACGCTTCCCTCTCAAGCGATGTCTCACGAAAGCTATGAGTCGGAGAAGCACAAGGGAAGCAAGTCTGATGCCATTCTTTGCGGGCCAAGAATTGAAGAAAGGACGAAGGGAGCTCACTTTACCAGTCAGCTGAACGGCTTATGTTGGGGATGCTCCTTTCCTGCACAATCAACATGGGGCCGTGTCTATCTTCAGCGTAAGTTCAATCTTTGGGCCAGCAGCTTGCCAGACCTCGGAAAAAGATCTGTCAGGTATCATCTACAAGCACGGGGGGGGGGGGGCAGCATTTTGGTGGGGGGTGGGAGGGGGCTTTTTTTTTTTTTTGGGGGGGGGGGGAATTTTGGAAAACTCCTGATGGGACCACTGCTGAAGCTTCAGCTTCGCCTCTCGATTCGATTCCTCTTCTATTTTCCTTGGCCGGAACAGCTGGTCGAGGGGGGTACCAACATTTGGCGTCACTGTGGATGCTTGCGAAATCCATAAACCGCACCACCTCAGAGACCCTGGTTTTGGAGGATTCCCATGTAATTACCAACAATCCTTATGGTTTCAACAGGGCTTCTTCAAAGATCTCCATTTTGCAACCATTTGAAACATGTTGCTTTTTCCACCAACACAAGGGGATTTTCACCATTTACCAGTTGCAATGTGGTGTATTCGCTGTAAGGATCCTTGTTCAACCCATGGATTCCGCAACCATCCACGGCGCAAAGCACCATCGGCGCTTTTTGCGCCGCGAAAGCCCCCAGGTGAGCGCATCCATGACGGCGCTTCGGAACCTGCAGGCGGAGTTGGATTGGGCAAGGGGCGATGAGAATTGAGGTGACGCGCAATGTGAACATGGGAGCAAGCTGGAAACACAGGTGGTCGCGATGAACGTGGGTGCCAGGGCAGCAAAGGGAAGCAAGTCATTGCAAAGATGGGGTTCCAATAGCCCGCAAGGCGGGAGCGGTTTGATTGGGTTTGGGTTGAATCCACGCAGTAAATCGATGGCAAGCTCAGCGAGCTGACCAAAGGGAAGTTGGTCGCCACTGTTTGGTTGCCAGTTTGGGAGAGGCGGGGGCAGGTCCAGGTGAAGCTGAGCCTGGTTGGCAGGGTCGGGCCCAGTTGTTCAAATATCATTAATCCACAGTTGTTCAAGCAGCCTTTTTGCTTTCCTGAATCGGGCAGTGGTTGCAACAGGGAGCAAGGGCCAATGAACATTTGAAGTGGCTGTGCTATTGTTGAGGCCTTGTCATACATGACGTTTGGACTCCACGTTTAGGCTCAAGTTAGGTTGGACACGAAAAGCAACCAAAACCGCCTGTGGATTCCTTCATGGTGGGATCACTTATTTGCCTGGCAGCCGTTTGTGACAACTTGAGGGTTGTCTTCTGGTTCGGTGCTTTCATGCAAGTGGATTTCCTGTGTACCAAGTTTTCGCACAGTGTGTTTGGCATTCCATTTACCCTCCTAATTGGTGGGAGGGTAAAGTATCCCAAACCAGCAATTTTAGGAGACGGATTTTTCTTCGAGCGCAGGGCGACGCGAAGAAGCAGTTCTGGCTGCTGAGGAGATACCTGCGGAGGAAGAAGGCGCCACAAGGGGAGGCTACCATGTTGTGGGGGGGGGGGGGAGAAATATGGCCCAAATTTGGACCTCAGCCAAAAAGGGGCTCGCAATTTGGACAAAACACCCAAGTTAGCTTCTCTTGGGTGGGCGGATGTTGAAAGGGGAAGGTAAACATAAGAGTCCGTCGGCATCGATTTCAGTGTTGAATGCCCGTGGAGTGCCAGGTGTCCGTAACGTCCCGGGTGCGCATCATCAAGTTCTTGGAACATGTCACGATGATCCAGGCCGGGATTGGGCTTCTCAGACGACCTTTCTCCCCTAATTGGCGCGAATTGGCTCACATGCACCCCAAACACACACGCGCAAAATATGTCATGTCTATATATATATATATATATATTAAATACATACATATATATATATATATATTATACATATATGTAAGAAAAAAACACCATATGTCTGTGCATATGCATATATATATATATACATTGCTTTTTGTTTTGTTTTGGGGTGGGGGGTCTGCAGCGTGAGGAGGGGAGGAACACCGCGGCAGGTAGGGAATGTCAAGGCTGGAGGCACAGAGCTGAGCTCGGGTTTGCTTTCAACGGTTTCCTACTGTGGATGGTTGCAAAATCCATAAACCGCACCGTTCAGAAACCCTGGTTTCTGATGATTCTCTTCAATGGTTTCTGCATGGCTTCAAAGTGGTGCAGGATTTTGTCCATCCACAGAATGTTTGCACCTGGCTGGACATCCAAAATTTGGTTCACAGCATGTTTTCCAACGTTCCAAGTTTCCGCTTTGGTCTTGTTCAGTACGGCTTTGGTTCACTCCCCTGCAACTTGACATGAATCCGGGAAACTTTTTCCTCTTTGTAGTCTTTGTAGGGCTACATTTCGGGAAATTGGAGCACTTTTTTTGGTAAGACTACATTTAAGGCATTGACCTTTCGGGTTCCGTGGTCCGGGGGAGTGGTTTATTTCCCTTGGGAAATCGGACCAGTTTGGGGTTTTCCCTCCATGGCTCGTCAGCGGTCTCCGGAAAAAGCTTCGCGCGAGGCCAGGACCGTCAGGGTGCCTGACGTGAAGCTCTTGAAGAGGCTTTCGGAGCCATTGAAGGAGCTGGTGGATTATGAGATCCACAAGGGGACGGCGCCTCGGGCCAAAGCGGCATTTGCCAAGGGGATGTTAGGACAACTTTTTGATCCAACTAGTGGGTTTTCCGGATTAAACCACTAGAAGTTAGTCACTTTTAGCAGGGCTTCGCAGAAAGCAACCGAGTTGGGCCAAGGGAGAAACAAAAACGGGCCGGGCAGTGGTTTGAGTGCTACATCTTCAAGGGCCCTTTGGGGCTCTTTTTCTTGTTTGCGGCTGGCTCCACCCAAAACCAGTTCTAGAAAATTGGGAGAGATTCCTCGACAGGAAGGGACAATAACTCTAGAAACTGGCCAGCGGAAAACCGTTTTCCCTTGCACACCTGTCTCTCTCTCTCTCTCTCTCATAGAAATCCCCGGATCCTACGTGAGAGACGGTGCACAGGGCTGCTCCGAGTCTTACAGTGACCAAAAATTGCACCGTTTGGATCGGCAGAGAATCGGCAGATCCTTTCACCAGGTTCCTAACCTTGCGAGCGACCCTGAAGGGTAGCTGTGTGATCTTTGCTGGGCTTTCTCTGGTTGATTTATCATTTTTTTTTGGTGTAGCTTAGATTGAGTTTTGGCGGAGATGTTGAATCATGATCTTCTTCACAGACGTTAGATTGCGGGTTGTGCGTTGCTTCATTTTTGTGTGTGTTGTTTTTAGTGTTTCTTGCTTTAATTGTTTGCATTCGGTGGCCTGCCGCCGACATATGTTCCCTTTCGGGTTGTGGCTTCCGCACTAGACATGTTTTGGGGGACCACTGCTGCGGCGCCCCAATGCAGGCAATTGTCAGCTTTGGGTTCTCAAGGTACGCAGCGAACAACACATTTAATCCCTTCCCCTAATGCTAAACGCCCCTCCCCCCCCCCAATACTAAGCGGGTCTTACCGGAAAAAACGGTTTTAGCATTAGGGGTCCCTCTGTTCCCGGCGCTCCGGCTGAAGTCGCAACTTTGTAGTACAGCCGTAGTAAACAACACGTACTCCCGGGTCCCCCTAATAGGGCTGGATTTGGGCACGGGCGGTAAAATACCTACTTTAGAATTGGTTTAGTATTGGCTATTCTAAAAGTAGTATTCCCGGATGTTGGATTCTCAAAAATCGGTTTTAGTATTAGGGGACTGTTTAGCAGTAGGAAGAAGGGATTATGGGCTGCTTGCTTCTGCCTTACAAAGTCAAAAGTCGATGGCACAAGTTGTAAAGCCATACAACTCATGTGAACATGACAGAAGTCCACGCTATATATGCCTCGTGAGTGGTATTAACCGCCATAGCCGAGAGGTCCAAACCCCTGAAACTGGCTGTGGGGGCCAGGTAAAGTTCTACCCCTTCCTGGACTACCTGAGCAACGTCTTGCACAGTGTGGTAGTGCCCTGGCTCCGACGCGAGGTGAACCAGAATCAACACCCGGTGGGTGAAACTGAATGGCGCCATTCCTCCATCGACAGGGAATTGTGCTTCTGGTGCAAAGAGGGGTCCGCAAAAGCGGAGGTTTCGTTCCAAAAGGGCCTCTTTTTGTCAAGTTCCCACGGTGAGGAGAATCCAACGTGCTTGCACGTGACTGTGGACAGGTCCTGACTTCTGGCACTTGTTTTGAAGCGTGACTGGCAAGTTCCGCGAGCCAATCAAACAAATCCTGTCTCCTTCGTCTTTGGGAGCTGGTTCCCCCCCAGCGCAACGGGAGCAAGTGGAAGGTCGGCAACACTGAGCTCCAGTTGGCTGTGCTTTGGGACAGTCCAGCCTTGTCGTAACATCCAAGGAGCGGCGCCCAGTCCAGAGCTGGAATCCAGTGATGACAACGGCCCAGTTCTCTTTGGGCCAAAATCCTTCTCCAGTCGGGATGGATGAAGCCCTATGATAAGTGTGAGAAACCACGAGGGCCATAAAAACGAGGCCATGTGGATCTTGGTCAAATGGGTGTGGGTCAAAATTGAACCACCGCAGGTTTTAGTCTATGTTTCCATTTGCCAGGGTTCCATTTTGGGTATCTTTTTTTGACCCACAGCCAAATATCGTCTCCACCTGTTGAAAGCCCCTGGTTGGTTCAGTGCTCTCAGGTGAAGCTTTGCGCCACTGCCGTTCAGCAGGCAGGGTGGCCACTGAGGTTGTCACAACAACAAAATGGGGGACTCCAGCAATTTTGGTCGCCATTGGTTTGTTGGGTTTGTGGGCTGGTTGGCTGGTTTGTGTGTTTGTTGGTTGGTGGGTGAGGTTGTTGATTGCTTGCCTGCCTGCCTGCCTGCCTGCCTGCCTGCCTGCCTGCCTGCCCGCTTGCTTGCTTGCTTGCTTGCTTGCTTGCTTGCTTGCTCACAAGTAGATGGTGGCCGAGTGTTGTTCCTGGTTGTGGTGACTTACCAGTTTGCCTTTGCGCCCGTTTCAAATCACAAGAGGGGTGTCCTGCACTTGCGGATGTTCGTGTGCTTTGGGTTGAATTGTTTTCCTTCTAAACTACAACCATTTGGGTAAATTGGGATTTGTTGTGTTTGTCCTAATTTCGGTGTTTGCAGTGGTTTACTTCTGCCCGTTCAAGCAACAAAACGGGCTAGGTTTGTTTGTTTCCCTTCAACGCCACATCTTGAGTTGGTCCATGTTTACCCAGAAGGTTAGTTTGTTTTTTCTTTTTTTCTGGGTCCTTGGGCAACTAAGCATCTGGGGTGTGGCCCGCATATTAGGACTTCCTTGTTGTGTTTTGCTAGCAGTTTACCTTTGCTTCTATCCCAGCCAAAACGTGGGTGTGCAGAAATTGGGGAGGCGGGGGGGCAGGGGAGCTCCTTTCTGTTCGAATATGTTTCCGTTGCTGCATCGTTCCCTTGAAAAATCACATCAGTTATATAAGGTCTGTGTTTCCTTCAGAAGCGCACTGCATTACTACCCACACAAGCGACCAGGCAAGCCTGGGCAAAGGCTGTCATAGGCTTGGAGTTCCCACCCTCTTTCCAGCAGGATGGTGGTCTTCCCAAACTGTCGCGTGAAGGTCAGCTTCCACTCTACTGCTATTGGGTTGGATCTTTAGACTTTAACTTTTTGGATTCCCTTCATATTTCCTTTTTTCCAGCAAAAAAGTTCAACTTTTTGCTGGGGGATCCACAGCCCCCAAGGATTGTCGGTGCTCTCCGGCCGGCACACCGCACGCACCGCTGCGTGTGCCTGCCTGCGCTGGCCAGGTACAGTTTGCCTTGCAGGATTGCATCTTCCGCAGCGGCGACTTGCCCGCAGGGCAGTGCTGGTTTAGTCATGCCAAGAGGAAAATGAGTTGGACAGGAGAGCTGCATGTGTTTTTTCCTTGTTTTTTTATTCTCACAATTATATCTTGTCTTTTTCCTTACAGGGTTGGTTTGCTTCTGGGTTGACATTTGAAGAATGATCCGTCCTTTTTGATCCGTGCTCTGATTAACTTGTGACTTGATTGTTTGGAGAGGACATGAGCGGAAAGCGAAGCTTCGTGTCACATGCACCGTCCACACGGGCCAAATGAGGCATCTGAGGATGCGCATACATGAAGGGATTGCGTACGTGACATGTGTTGTTCTCTCTCCCTCTCTTTCCCCCTCCCTCCCTCCCTCCCTCCCTCGCTCCCTCGCTCCCTCGCTCCCTCGCTCCCTCGCTCCCTCCGTCCCTCCGTCCCTCCGTCCCTCCGTCCCTCCGTCCCTCCCGTCCCTCCGTCTGTTTGTCTGTCTCTCTCTCTCTCTCTCTTGAGGCGAGGATTGCCATGAATTCCAGAATGCTTCCTTGTCTTTCCGTTTCTCTATTCTAGCTGCAACAACCCATTTTTGCTCCAATCCTAGATCTTCAGCACCCTTTCTTCATATCTCGTCCCTTCATTTCCAACATCACGATTTGGGGCCGTATACCCCCCAATAATGTTGGTTCCTGATTATTCATGGGATAGTCAATATTGCAAAGTGTTTTTCCTTATTATGATTCGCCCCCGTTGTTGATGGGGACCAGAATAATTGAAAGTTGTTTTGCCTGGGGGGGAAATTCAAAGAATTTCCACAAATCAAGTTTAATTTAAAAACCATCCCCCCAGCCCCCCCTCCCAGAAAATAAACTATCAGATGCTTTACTCAAAAGCATTCTCCTTTCAATTGGCGGCCCACTTGCTTAAAAGCATTCCCCTTTCAATTGGTGGCCCACTTGCTTAAAATCATCCCCTTTCAGTTGGTGGCCCACTTGCTTAAAAGCATTCCCCATTGAATTGGTTGATCAAGCACAAAACCCAAAGCCAGCCGAAACCTCTGAAATTTGAAAACCATCCCCAGCCCTCCCTGGCTCAAGCTCAAGCCCTCCCTGGCTGAAAGGCACATCCTTTGAATGGCTGCAGAAAGAACTGAACGGGATGTGACTGCAATACTAAAGTAGTATTCCAAAAAGTATGCGCAGGAAGAAGTGGTTGCAATACTAAGGTAGTATTCCAAAAAGTCTGCCCAGGAAGAAGTGGTTGCAATACCAAAGTAGAATTGCAAGAAGGAAGTGGCTGCAATACTAAAGTAGAACTGGGCCCCAAAATCCTCCATTGTTTGGACGTCCCAAAAGTGAGCCTACAAAATTCGAGTACTTCCATTGTTTGGGGGGGGAGGCCCTTTATTAATCAAGCGCCAACATTAGTACCCGACACTTTTAACAAGTTAGGGACTATATTCGAGGGAGCCAGTGCTTTTCTTGGCATGCCGCGCTCGATCTCTAAAATTCAGAGCTGGTTCCCGTGCCTGGAATGTGCCCCGAACTTCAGCTGTTCCTAGTGGAACAGCACTTCCAGTGTCGCTGTCTATCAGAGATATTCACGCAGCCCATTTTGCGGACCGGCCCTTCCACCAAATCGGGGTTGCCAATCAGCTATACCAAGACTAACAAATTGTTGGCCCAGCCCGAGCCGGACTGAGAGGCCACCGCCCCGTTCAACAAGCAAAGAGACACTAGCTGCAAAGATCACCAAGAAATAGCCGGCAATAGTCCAAATTTGGGATTCGGGCTTCTTCTTTTTTAGGGGGCCGGGGGGGGGTCCCAGAGATCTGCGTGTATCGTTCTATCTGTTAGTGTACCTCCTAGTTGCATCAATCTTCGGGGACCGCTGTTCAGGGTTGATTTTGGGGCCGTTTTGGGAATCGCAGTGTCGGACACCTCGAAGCATGGATTTGGGGAAGTTTGCCGGACGCTTCTTGCTTGGCTTGGCTTAGGAGTTTTGGGGGACGAATGTGTGTTTTTTAGCTGGCGAGCTTTTTGATAATTTCCGGGCATATTCAACAACGACGGTTCTATGCTGGGTGAAGGCCCACACCCGCCACCGCCAAAAAGGGGAAAGACGCGCAAACACAAAATAATGTTGGAGTGAGAAATATACATATATTATAAATGACTTAGAACTGAGGAATGCTGAAGATCAAAATCTGAATATGTTGCAATTATGTCCAATCAGTGTAATATTTGATGGGTTGGTTAGGAAGGTTAATGTCTATTCAACTCTGTTATATATCTATCTTCTATCTTAGCACAGCCATCCAGCCATAGACAGGAACACAGTGGCACATGCTCACCGGATTCAGGCAACACGCCAGGAGCATCGGGGTTTGCAGCCAACCGCAATGAGCATCAAGGCAGGGGCGTGCCGAGCAAGGAGCTGATTCAACAAGGCAGACATGCAAAGCAAGGGAAGAAAGAAAGAAAGCAAGAAAGAAGGAAAGAAATAAAGAAAGAACCCGTTGCTAAGGAAGCTTGCAAACAGCACACATCCATTGCTTCTTTCCTGCGAGCTTTACTTTGCATGCGGTCCGCCATGGCCGAATGGCCTGCTATTGCCTGGTTGCCGAGGCGACCTTGCCGCAAGCATGTACTTTATTTGCAGCCGGAGCCTGAGAGCTCCGATCGCCACGTCCAAAGAAAAGCCATGTGGGTTTTGGTTCGCGAAGGGTCCTTGGACCCCATAGAAAAAAGAAGTTGCTTTGAACGGTTGAGGTCTTGCGTAGGTTTAGGCCCAGCTTTTGCGGGTGTCCTTTTGGTTTGCCGTGCGCTCCCTGCAACAAGCATCCAAAAGCATGCCTCTTTGTGTTTTCGATGCCCCCAATGTGCGATCCCTAGAACTTGGGTTAGCTTGCCAAGGAAACATGAAGCAGTGCCCGCCAGCAAGCAACTGCCGAAAACTACAAGAGGAAACCAACGCATGGTTCTTCAACTATCCACAGCACTCGGAACCGCCTGAAAAACAATCGGGCAATCTCCAAAAAGGGTTTCCCATTGGTTCCCTTCACAACAGATGGGTGCCTGAAAAACAAGAAAAGACACACCCAGTTGAGCCACAATCAAAGCCCGGGCAGATGAAGACTAGTAAGGGAGAACTACCACAAATAGCTGCGGATATCTGCCTTCTGAATTCGCTACATGGTTCTGGGAGTACGACCATTTTAATACTGGGTTTTGAGCAAGTGACTCAGTTCTCACCATCGATTCCCTGCATCCGAGGCTTCAAGCCATCACTCACTGATCAACTGGCTGCGATAGGGAATGTGGAATGAACCCAGGCTTTGGTGTTGCCGAACGGACACCAGCAGTTGAACGGATTTGATTCTTTCTCAGGGTCATTCCCGGCAACTCAGCAACTCAGCAACTGTGCGTCTCTCACCATTTAGGTCCCCCAGTAGTGCCCTTTTACCACCTTGTTTGGTTGGGAGATGCAGTTCCCCTACTAAAACAGACAAGAAAGACAAAAGTTGGAACCCTTATTCCAACCTCTCAAATCTGGAGCACCTGGCCATGGGACAAAAAAATGACGGTTACCTCGCATGGATGAAGCCCTACACACGGCACCCCGCCACCTCGCCGTTCGCGGCGAAGCGCCGCGGCTTCGCCGCGAAGCTGCGGAGCCTCCAGGTGGCAGGGCCAAGTACGTGTGGCCTGGCTCCGATAGCTTGCAGGAGCTGCTCCGGCCGCCTTCGCATTTCTGAAAATCGGTCTGGTGTCTGAAAATGGAACTGGGGGAGGGATTTCTGGACTATGTTGAGAGCCCAAAGGAACACCAATTCTTGTGCCCAGGGAACGGTTTGCCAAAGGCAATATGGTAATTACCCTCAAAGCGCACGCACCTATACTCCAAAATCCTCCTGGTTTAGAAGGGGATTCTCTAAATCAAATGGTAAAGCTGACTCTTTACTTGGCCCATGCATAAAACATAAATCATCAAGTAAATAAATAAGCAAATAACTAGATATAATTATATATATATATATGAATATCCTTCAAGAGACCCCGGCAGAGTGGGGTGAAGGAAGATGGCACAAGCTCCACATTTAGGAAAACCACCTTTCCTTGCGGAGCCCGCTTTGAGGAAGCCACCTGTTGAGGCTTGGCCTTCGGTTGAGATGCCGCCGTTTTCTCCGGCTTGGGTTCCGATAGTGTCCGGAGTCAGCCATGGTTTCGCTGAAGATTTGCTTTGCGCGATGTGTTTCGGACTGGCAGGCCTGGGTGCACACGCTTTCACTGAGCCTCATGATCATGCAACCTCTTGCCTCCAGTCGCCTCTTCTCTCACCTCTTGCCTCCAGTCGCCTCTTCTCTCCCCTCCCGCAGCCGCCCTGACTCCCAAGGCCACAGCCGGGGCGTTTGCTGCTGCGGCCTTGTCACTTCTTCGTGACTCGTGTTGGCGCGTTGTTAAACAACCCCAACCCTTCGTGCTCGAGCCTGCCACTCCGGGGTTGGGTTTGTTGGCAGCACTCGTTCCACGTAAGCGCTCCACGCAGGCATTGCGTGCCGCTGTCCACCAACGCTGTAATCTCCGTCAATGCTTTGAGTTTGAGCCATGGGCAGGTTTGCTTTTAGCTCCTCTTTGCCAGGTTCAGCGGGTCTGAAGTTTGGGAGAAGCATCCTTTGGTTCAACCTGGATGCGGCCAAGGGCATCGGCTTGCAAACCCCTTTACCGCTACTCCTTGAGTGGCGACTTGTCTGGGTCATGCTGTGGACGGTTGCGAAATCCATTTCGCACCACCCAAGAAACCCTGGTGTCTGATTCCCCTGTAAATACCAACAAACCATGGTTTCAACCATGGTTTCAAAGTGGTGCAGGATTTTGTCTATCCACAGTATATCCCCTTCATTTGGGGGGAACCTTGGACCCACCATAGAAACAAGAAGATTTGGCAACCATTGATGGTTCCTTTCCACGGAGACCCGGATGTGTTTGTTCTTTGTGCGAGCAGTGGCTTTCTCCCCTTTCCGACGCTGAGGCGAACAAGAATGTGCCCAAGGTCGCCCAATGTGGTGAGAATGCGATGATCAACCTCATAACCTCCAGGTCCAGGCAAGAGGTTTGTACCCCAGACTACCCCAGTAGTGCCCTTTTGCCCCTTTTGGTCCCCTACT